AGGTTACTGGAATGCAAATTCACAAAGGTGGGAAGAATTGATATAGTGTAAACATTTAAGCCATGTGAACTATTATTACTGGTATTATTTTAATATTATTTAATATTAGGTTTAAGAATATTAGAAGCAGCAATTTGTGGAGTAAGTAGAACCTATTTCACTAACAGACCTTATTATACACCTTCTGGCTATTGGATTTTGAGAAGAGTCTGGGAAAAATTTACTCCTACATTGCCTCTGTTGATTACAGTCCCTGAAAACTAGTATCAACGGAGGGTCTTCCTGGTTTCCTTACCTCTCTTTCACCCTCTACTCCTCCTTCCCTTTCTCTCTTTTTTTCATTCATTCCAGTGGTGCCATAGCTCAGGACTGCATCTTCTCTCATTTCTTTCTAACCACTCTCTTTGCCTCCACTACTAGAATGATATTTCTAATTTGTAAATCTTATTTTGTATATCTCTTGGTTAAATACAGCCTCTCCAGTGAAGGTTCAAAGGACTCACAGTGCTCTCCACCACCTTGGCTCTGCCTGCCTTTCTAAGGTCATCTCTAGTTACAGTAATACAGTCCAGTGCCGCCTAAGGACATTTCAGTCAATGAGAGACGGCAGATACAATGGTGGTCCTATAAGATTATACAATACTGTATTTTTATTGTACCTTTTCTATGTTTAGATATAGGAATGGTACCATTGTGTTACAGTTGCCTATAATATTCAGTAGAGTAACCTGCTGTACAGAGCTGTAGCCCAGAGCTATACCACATAGCCTAGGTGTGTACAAGGTTATACCATCTAGGTTTCTGCAAGTATACTCCACGATGTTCTCACAACAACTAAATTGCCTAACAACGTATTTCTCAGAATGTATCCCTGTAATGAAGTGACACATGACTATAAAAGCTAATCCTAACTGGACAACTAGCCACAATCAAATACATCCCCGTTCTTTGGCCTGTTGCATACACTGACATAATTGTGTTTTCCTGGAGAGGAATGCCCAGCCCCTTACCTGTCTACCTGACTAATGCATATTTCTGTCCCAACACAAATGTCTCTTTTTTAGGCCTTAATGACTGTCTCTGCCTTAATGACCCAGATAAAATGAATCATTCTATCACCACTGCTTGTTTTATATATACATATACATATACATATATATAGTGTTGGACATAGCGCTTATCACATTACACTATTAGCTAGCTTTATGTCTTATCTCCCCCATTGCATTGAAAGCTTGTTAGAGGCAGGGATAATGTCTCATTTTTTGCTGTATCCCTAGCTCTTAGCACCTTCAATGTGTCTATATTCAGCACACATAATGTAGTAGTTAATTTACATATGTTATCTATCTCCCATTTTCCACATCAGAAATCTAAAGCTTGCAGAGGTTTTGCCTGAAAAAAAAAGAATACACATGGTAGAAACAACATTAAAACCTAAGTTGAGGCCGGGCGTGGTGGCTCATGCCTATAATCCCAGAACTTTGGGAGGCCAAGGTGGGCAGATCCTGAGGTCAGGAGATCGAGACCATCCTGCCCAACATGGTGCAACCCAGTCTCTACTAAAAAATACAAAAATTAGCCAGGCGTGGTGGTTGGTGCCTATAGTCCCAACTACTCAGGAGGCCTACGCAGGAGAATCACTTGAACCCAGTAGGCGGAGGTTGCAGTGAGCCGAGATCGCACCACTGCACTCCAGCCTGAGCAACAAGATCAAAAACTCTGTCTCAAAACAAACAAACAAACAAACAAACAAACAAACAAAACCTAGGTTGGACTCCAAAACCGATACTTTGTTGTCAATGCTATGTTGTTGTTGACTAGATGGAGATATAAAAGGTCACTCTGGAAATGGTGCCAATCTACCATATCAAACTGAGTTAATGCACTACAGACAATGCGCACAAAATTCACTGTTACCACCTACTTACAAGGCCTGGACTGCTTAGCATCGGAGATTATTCAGACCATAGCATCTACAGAGCAATGCAATACAGGTTGACACCCCTTGTGCATCTCAAAGGTTCTTACCTTTTGACAAAACAGCCTTACAGTCTCACAATAGGTTGATGTCTGGCTTTATAGGTAGTATGTAACCATCTCAAGGTCACACAGTCTAGTACCAGCTAAACTAGGCCCAAAACTTTTTTTTTTTTTTGGTTACTTACAAAAAAATAATAATAATTATTATTATTATTGTATTTTTAGTAGAGACAGGGTTTCACCATGTTGGCCAGGCTGGTCTTGATATCCTGACCTGGTGATCCGCCTGCCTTGGCCTCCCAAAGTATTATTTTTTATTTAAACTGAAGCCGCTACATCCCATCAAGTATATTTCTAGATGAAAGTAGTACACCAACTGGAAATGGATGCTCAGTGGAGGAAGCTAGGATTAAATGCCACAGGCTTGCTACAGCCAAGAGCATATCTGCATCTATGAGGGGCAGACCAGAACAGCAAAGCTAATGCCAAGGCCAGCCACACTACGTCTGCATCAGTCGACTAGTTGTAGAGTGCAAGAACAAAGCAAAAAATGTGATTCAATATAAAATATGAGGTTTCTCTAACCTCCAATTTAACTATGCAAGGTCCTGTTATTAATTAATTAGGTACCTTCACCAAGGACAGTTAAGAAAATCAGACAACTGCCAGGTTGCTTCCTATTACTCTTGACTTCTTACTGGATACTTTTTATCAAGTGAGGTAAGCACACGATTTCCTCTAAGTTATTCAGCAAAATGTCCTATGCTCCTAAACTGACTCAAAGCAAACACATTTTCTTTTCTTTTTTTTTTTTTTTGAGACGGAGTCTCACTCTGTCGCCAGGCTGGAGTGCAGTGGCCTGATCTCGCTCACTGCCACCTCCGCCTGCTGGGTTCAAGCTATTCTCATGCCTAAGCCTCCCGAGTAGCTGGGATTACAGGCACGCGCCACCACACCCAGCTAATTTTTGTATTTTTGGTAGAGACAGGGTTTCACCATGTTGAGCAGGATGGTCTCGCTCTCCTGACCTCATGATCCGCCCACCTCGGCCTCCCAAAATATTGGGATTACAGGTGTGAGCCACCGCGCCCAGCCAGCAATCACATTTTTAAAAACAACAACAAAAAGCGCAGTAGCCTGGTTGTGTGCTTTCCATTTAGAGATACTCCCTCCCTTCAGAGTCGTATTTCCTTGCTCTGCACCAATGGCTATTTTGTTGTTTAAAACAAACACGTAAACGGTGACATTGAAATACCCAGACTACATGGTCTTAAAGAGTCTGGGTTAATGAAATAAGGTGAGTCAGTGAGATGAAAGATTTAATGTTCCAATAATTATCTTTTAAAACCCCCCTTTTAAATGTCAAAACTCTTCAGCTCTTCTCTTAGGGGAGTAGGAACGGGAGGGGTCTCCTTTAATTTTGTGGAACCTAGGTTTTGTAAGGATATTGACAAATTAGATGCTCGGCAATTAAATTAGAATTTCACCGTATCTCCTGCCTTAAAAGAACAGCTTTATTCTTGAGGGAGCCCACCTAACAATTTTATGTTCAGTCATCTGCAGAGAATAGAGCCACTGTCTTTTTCTTTCCTAACCTAGGGTAGAAGCTTTATTTCACTGCAAGTTCCCTATGACATTTTGCACTCTCTTGATTTAATGCACCAAAGAGGATCTTTAGCTCTTGGTCTACACCAGTGCAAATAAAGGTTAAATCTCTCACTAACCATCATGAACTAGCCTAATAACTCACGAGAGGCCCTGGAAAAAGAAACCGAGAAAGCAGGTGTGCAGACTTGATTAAAACGTGCAAAACCCGCACAACCGCAGGCAAAGGTACTTTATCCTCACGTTTGCCCAGTACCGGCTGCGAGGTCCGCAGGCAGGGGAACTTGTACTGCGCCAAAAGCACGATTCCGAGAGCCGGGCCTAGTAACACAGGGGCTTTTCTTCAGAACGGTGTCCAGACCGGAGCTTGCGCCGAATGTAGGGGCTCCTATTGGCCACGCGCCGTAGGGGAGGAGACGACTGGCGGGGAGGGAGACTGGAGGAGGGGAGAAGGGGGCAAGGCCTTTTCCCTGCCCCCTCCCGGCCCCCTCCACCGGCTGCCGCCGGTGCCTCGTGCGTGGTTACTATGCAAATTGCAGCGATTGCGGAAATAAACAAGGGGGTAGGGAGAGAAGAGAGGGACTGCCGAATCGATTGCAACTTCTGCAAAGTCTCGTACAATCCAAAGCACGCAAGGCAAAACCAGAGAGAATCTGAGAACCAGCCAGCCCGGGTTGGATCGCTTTCAAAAGAGAGCGAGCGAGCGAGCGAGAGACAGTGAGAGAGGGAGAGAGCGCGCCTTGCAATTGCAAAAGCCTTCTGATTTGGAGTTAAAAAAAAAAAAAATTCTCCAAGAAGCCTGCAATTGGCCAACAGCTTTTTAAAAAATCTCTTCCGGGTTTTCAACGGTTCCAAGTTTATTTAGATGTATTTTTTTTTAATGCAAAAAAAAGGGGACAACAAATGAAGCAATTCGTCTGAGCATTTTAAAGTTTCTCACGTACTCTTTTTACATTGCAATGGTACGTGGTACATCTTAAACTTTCTATTTTGCATTTATATGATATGCGTTTTATAAACAATAATGGTAGAATGATTTTGTTTAATGGCTAAGACTAAAATTTCTCTAGCTCGCATATGCACTTAAGTGATTGCTGGGTAAATGTCTATTGTGATGGTTTTGTTTTAAAGATATAGCTTTGTTGATGGTGTTTTTGCTATGTGCATCAGAGACCGGGTTTTCTTTTTCTTTTTTTTTTTTTTTTTTTTTTCGGGATTTGAAAAAATTGCTGAGCTTGACAGATTTTTTTTCCTCCTAGCGCTTGCTCGGTTCCAGAAAGGGGTGGGGGGAAATCCTGTACGTGCTCTGTTCTGTAAAAGACGTCTGGCCTCAGCAGTCAACCTAACCCGAAAAGAAATGTCTGGACCCGGAGAATAATTGACGATTTGATCCTCTAATCAATGGGACAACATGGGAGATTGACAAAAGCTTTATCCAATCATAAGAAAGCTTGGGTGTACAATAGTTCTCAATAGCCAGAGGGGGCGGGGCAGAGGAGATCTGAAGTTCTCTGCAGCTCTGAAGGGGATGGTGTGGTTCAAGCTGTCAAAGCTACAAGCGCTTCCGGATTTAGCAAGTACAATAGGAAAGAGTTTTCGCGTTTAAGAGAAAAAAAAAAAAACTGATCGGGGGAGTTTGCATGAATCGTGTGCCTTCTTCCTTGTCTTTTGGAAAAAGAAACATTCTGCTAGAGAAATAACTTTGCATTAGATATTAACTTTGCATTAGCTATTATTTTTAAACTCAGGGAAGTTGGTAACTTGTGGAATGTGAAGTTCAACTTTAAGAAACGTGTAGCTTAAATCTTGCCTGAATTGTGGGACTGTAGTGAGCTTTGGGAAGTTAACATATTGCGTATTCAGCATTACAAAACTTCTTACTCTGATTATCTTAGCAGCTTTGGCATTTCAAGTACTTTGAAATTAATAAGTAAACCTCTCTTCTTGAACTCTAAACAACTGTTTTAAAGGAGAAAATGTTTCACATGTGAACTAGCAGCTGTCTTACATACTTGAAATGAGGGGAGTGTTTTTTCTTGGCTGTTCTTGAATTCTGCTTTTTAAGTATATGGTCAGTAGGAAATAGGACATTAAGACTGGCCAAGTTCACATTTCTTCTTGTTACTACAACAACCCCCATGGAGGGTGTGAGTATGGAAGATCGCTGACTTGCTGTTAGTTGGAGTCTGGCCTCTTGGACAAGTGCTTGATACAAATCCAGTGGAAACCAACTGCAGTAGCTTGTCTTGGAGACAGTAACTGGCAGCCTCTGACTAAAATATCTCCATCTCCTCTCTGAGCAGTGTAGACACCTAATTCTGTTGGGAAGTGAATGGAAAATAATATGGGCTCTTTCCCTTCTTTGGATTAAATTCCCATCGAGCTATTTCCCAAGGCTTTAGGCCTTCCAGTCAAATCTGGCTTGGAAATTTGATGTAAGAATTCACTTGGACACTCACTTCAGCAACATGATTCAATTTAGGATTATATGCACATAAGAAAAATCTGCACAGAAGTGACCAGCAGGTCAAAAACCAGAGAAGAAAAAATGTTGAAAAATGCCAGTTAATAAAGTTAGTGTTGGTAAGAACTACAGAGTTATGGTGTTGTCACTTATGAATCCCAGTTCTATCTTCACTGCTTTGGGTATTAAAATCTAAATCATATTAATAAGATCTCCCTATTAAGTAACCTCCAAAATGAGAGCTATTTGAGATGTACATATAAGTGAAACCTTATTGACGTAATTTATATATCTAAGAGGATTTCACTAAAGCTGGCAAGGTAACGTTTCTGCAAATAAAACACAGTAAATGCAAGGCTGGGCTCTGTGCCAGGAAGAATATGGATAGCAGAGAGCATGACAGGAGCCTCCTTTGCGCAGAGACAATCCCATTTCAAGGCAGCCTCCTACCACTTGCAAAATAAATGATTGGAGTGGTTATTTCCAATAAGGGGTTTATCCTTCCTAACAATGGGGTCATTTATATGATTGCAGTAAACTAGTTTCCATACTTCACCTGCGTTTCCTCCACTGCTCTCTCTACTATCCTTTCTTCCCTCCTCCATCCCTGCTCTCTCTCAAGTGCCTTAGTATCTTTGTGAACTCTGGACAAGGATTTACTTTTGCAACTTGGGAAGAGGGGAGAGGGTTGGAAATGTTTTTTACCCCCAGTCTGCCCTTTGAGGAACATCTGTTTCTTTGTGCGTGTGTTTAAATTTATGCCTGTTGGAGAGAAAGTTACCAGAAGCCTTTCTGTAACTGTAACTCTTCTACTGTATTTTTCTCAGTCTTGTTTCCAAAGGCTGTAGTTGGAACTGTGCTTTGTAGTGTTTCCCCCGCCTCCCCCCGTCCCTCCGCGGGGGAGAGAGCGGGAGCTGGCGGAGATAGGAGAGAAAGCAGGAGCGGATGTGAAGGGCTTTGGTGCTGAACTTGGATCCAGCCCTTGCCTAGAGGGCGCAAACAATCGTCCCATATCCAAAAGTCTTACGAAGGGCGCCAAAAGTTACTTAAGATAATATTGCTAACCGCAGAAAGCTGGAAATCGCGGGCACATCCACTGCTGCACAAAAGAAGTTTTTAAAGTAGAAATATCAGCATTAAATTACTTCCCCCATTTTTTTTTTTAAAACAGGGCGATGTGCCAGTCCTTTTTTTAAAAAAAAAATCTTTTTTTTTCCTTGAGACTCAAAAGTAAGAATCTTTGCCGTTTTGAAAAGAGGCAGATGTGAAGTCTATCTTTTAATACACCAAAAGAAAGATTTTAATCTGCTCTGGAAGAGAGCTTCCCGAGTACACACTCCGAACAATAACTTCTCACTGTGCCTCAGTTACATGTTGGGACCGTCAGCCAGAAACTTCTATCGAGGAAACTTGGAGCGCATTGAAGTTATAGATCCCAGCAAAGGTTCTCGTGGCCAGGGATGTTGTCTCTGTAACACAGCTTGGCTTTTAGGACATTCCTCCCCTACTGAAATCTGAGAGGAACCAAGGAAAAGCAGTGGGTTAAGTTTGGGAAAATGGACTCTCTCATTAAAGGCTGAAATCATTATTTCTCATCACTCCTTAGTAAATAATCTTGAGAGATTTCCAAGGATGTTCAGGAGGGAGGGTGGGGGAGAGAATGGTTCTTGAGCATTCGGGACTTATTTTGGCAATAAAGTAACTAAAGTACAAGCATAAAATAACTTTAGACAGATGCAGAATTATTTCAGAGGTTCTCTTTTGCTCTTTCTCCAGTACAGTATTTCCTGCTCCTTGCTTTAAAAAGAAGTCTGAATGAGAGTGAGTGGCCTTAACACATCACTTACCCTCACTTTCCTACAGGAATGTCCTCTCTTTAGAGACTCTGTGGCTATGTCACCTCCACCGAAGGGCAGATTCCCCTGTGTGCCAGTGTCTTTCAACATGATACCCACCTCTTTCCTTTTGGAATTTTGAGAAGGGTTGTCAAATGCAGCATTTTGCAAACCATCATGAGGAAGAGAAGTAAAATAAGGGATGGGGGCTTAGAAGAGGCAGATATACTTCCCCCCCCCCCCTACTCCGAGAGAGGAGAGCCTAGAGAGAAAATATGAGGTTAAAAAAAAAAAAAAAAAAACTGGAAAAGCAGGCTTACTGGCAACTTGCCAAACCCTAAAAACCACCCCCCTTTTCTGCCAAAACAATACTTTAGCAAACCTAAAATAATTGCAGGAAGCTCTTTTCCATTTTAAGAACTATCACCTGGGGGAGGGAAAAAAGGGATTCTTAAAAGGCACCCTTCCAGAGGTGTCCCAGAAACTGGGACGGTAATGACAGTCTATGTCCAGTTCTGGGCACGCGTCTGTGGATCAGAATATCTCCCTTCCCTAAGGGGACATCCCTTTCACAGATTTTTTTCCTCCTAAAAAGAAAAAGATGTCACAGCTAAACCACTGTTGTTTCTGAACGTGATAGAACTTTTTCTATGGCGTCTGTGTTCAAACCCACTAGTTTCACAGTCCTGGGAGGGAGAATGCTCATTAATCTCCGCCTTCCTTTCTCCAGACCCCCGCCCCCCAAATCCGGTGAATCTTCTGTGGGCACTGATTCCTCACCACCCCCGCTTCTGAATGCCACAGGACCGAAGCTGCACAAAGTTTGCAGGATTGTGTGCATAATTACCTCTGCCGACGAATCTATTCCCACAGAAAGCTTCGCTGGAGAGATTACAATGCTTTGAGCCTTACCGCATTTCAGTGGGGGAAAAAAAAGTTACCTAGGAGGTCTGATTTTTCCAAAGAAATTTGCATACATGCAAATGTGCCGCCCGGCCTCCTCCTCGGTTCTCTACGTGCCCACGCGGTGGCCCGGGGGGTGCGGGGCAACCTGGCAAAGTTGCCCAAGTCCTCCACCGAGGTCCGCGGAGGTCTGCGGCGGGGGTGGGGGGATGGGGACGAGGAAAAGTAGTTTTGTTTGCTTAAGCACATCCTGTGGCAGCCTATAGCTGCCCGGGAGTACAGACTGTAACTGCTCCTCACTGCGTTACCCAGTAATGCGCTGATCGGGGGAGGGGGGCGGGGGGGCCGGGGAGCGAGCGGGAGAGCGAGCGAGCGAGCGAGCGAGGAGCGAGCCACGGAGAGAGCCGGGGAGCGAGCGAGCCAGCCAGCGAGCGCGAGCGGCCGCGGAGGCTCGGGACCCGGCTGGCCGCGCGGCGCCGCAGCCGCCCCCTCACACCACCACCCCCTCCCCCCCGCGGCGGCGGCGCGAGCGGGCGGCGGCTGTGCGGTGCGGTGCAGAGCGAAGGCGGAGGCGGGCGCGCGGGCAGCTCGCGGGCACCCGGCCGGGCCGGCGCGGGAGCGGGAAAGGGTGCGCTATGCCTTTAACGCCCGCGTACAGTAGGCATGTATAGTGGAGTGTAGGGAAACTCTAGGCGGGGTTAAAGTTCAGCTCATGGAGCGGCAATAGCGCTGGCTGGCTGCAGTTGAGCCGAGTTGGAAATGTGAACGCAAGAAGCAGGCTTGATTTTTTTTTCTCCCCCCTTCTCTCTCTCTCTCTCTCTCTTCCTCTCTCCCTCTTTCTCCTCTCTCACCCACACTCACGCACACCTCCAAACCGCACACCCAGACGCACACGCATACCCCAGCGCCCGGCAGTTATGTATTCTCCGCTCTGTCTCACCCAGGTAAGCTGCGGCGTGGATGCGGAGGGCCGGGGGGCCGGGGCGCCGGGGGCAGGGCTGGGGCTGGGTTGGGGGGTACCGGGGCCGTCCCGCCGGCCAGGCCCGGGGAGTGCGTCTCGGTGTGTGCCTGTGTCTGCGCGTGTTTCTGTGTGTGTGCGCGCGTGTGCCCGCGGGTGGGGGGGGGATCCCGCTTTAAGAAAGTAACTTTGTTTCCATGCGGGTGCATTCCTCTTGCACGGCCATTTGTGTGGGCACATGGCTAATGGCGCCCTCTTATTAATGCGTTAATTAATATCGGGGCGACGGACTGCGGAACGGCGGTGTTTTCGGACACCCCGCACGTGTTTCGGCGGGGTTGCAGTCCATGACACGCTAAAATCTGGCTCAGCGTTTCTGCTGCCGGGTGCAGGAATCCCGTAGTTCTGCGGCGCCCGGGAGGGGGCCGCCGACGGAGCCCACCGCACACCCCGCACGCTCGGGCCGGCTGCAGTCCTCGGGTGCGGGGAGACCTCGGGTGCCTGCGCCCAACGGCCCGCTCCCCGGAGCCCGCGCTGCCGCAGCCCCCCACCGCCTCCCCGAACTCTTACTTTTGTTTATTGTTTGTCAGCCTTCGGGGTCCGGCCGCGGGAAGGACGCGGGCTGCCGTCCCGGCCCCGGCCAGGACAGCGCCCCTCCGACGCGGGCAGGCGGCGGCGAGCCCTCGGCGGAGCGGGGCTGCGTGGACGCGCGTTCCCCCGCGCCGGCCGGGTGGAGCCTGCGTCCTCGCCGCGCGCGGGTGGTTCGCTCGCTCTCTCGGAGTGAAAGTTTCGGGGCAGAGACAAGCCCACGCTGTGCAGGGCGGCGAGCGCCGGAGGCCGCGGGCCGCGGGCCGGGTAGCGCCGGGCAGAGTTGGGCTCCCAGCAGTGAGCTGGAGCGGCGGCCCGGGCCGGACGCGACTCCCCCCGCCGCCACCACCACCGCCACCGCCACCACCGCCACCGCGCGACTCCGGCCGCTCCGCGCGCAGGACTAGGGCAACTTTTCCTCTCCGACTCAACTCAGAGCGTGGGGCTCTCGCGCCCCAACGCCTCTCCTTTCCGTGCCCTCCTGTCCATCCCTCCCTTGTCTACCCACCCCCAGGCAAAATATTGCTGCTTCGAGACTTCAAATCCGGTCCCCTTTGAATATATTATTTGTTTTCCTTGACTAAAAGGCATGAAGTCAAAGTGGTTTTGCGCTTTTTTTTTTTTTTTTTTAAGCGTGAGCTTTCATATTGCTTTGATACATTGCGATATGACCATTAATCACCTACATGAAGTTATATGCTTCACATAAAATGTTTATTCATCTCTCCCTTAAAAAAAAACTACCACTTCTTGCCTTCATTTAGTGGGAGATAACGGTTTAACCGGAATAGTTTCTGGAAGGCTAAAAAGTATCAGTAGTTTTCGCTCTCTAGATTCTGGATTTATTTCCCACATGACATCCCTTCTTATTGCAATATCTAACGGTAATAATACCGGGTATTTGATCTCAGAAGACTCTTAAACGCATCTTTTATGTTGAAATGGTCTGTTTGGGATTTAGGCCTTGCATTAATAATGGATAGCTGTTACTTTTAGTTATTGTAAAAGTTTTTTTTTTCTTCACTAACAAACTTCCAAAGTGCCTATTTTAGTAACTTGTAGAAGTATGGAATGAAACTTTTCCAACCACTTCTGGCAAGGTTCACAATTGCATATGGATAAGATGCAAAGTGTAAGATAATTTGAATGAATTACGGACTATAGTGAAAATGCTGAGATTCGAAGGCTGAAGTTCTAGCTGGCAGAAGTTTGCAACGCACAGAACTTGTAGATAATACCAGCGAGATGCAATAGAGGGAAAGGACCCTAACAGATACATTAGTGTCTTCTCAATTGAGCTCTGAAAAGATAAATTTATATTTGGGAATGGTGCATATATGAGGGCACCTGTACATCCATGCAGGCCCAGAGCACAGTCAGGTATTTAACAAAGTTGGCTTCTCTTGGTTCATGAGCTATTATCACATTAAGAAAGTTTTTTTTTCTTTTTTCTTTTTTTTTCGGCTTACATATTTAGCAGCGTTGATTGATGCATTCACTAGGCCTTCTTCTGGAAACACCACTAAGAGAAATGCTTATTTAGTGTAACAGTTTGTAAAGAAAATGTACAATAAATAGCGAATGAGGACTCATATTTTATGGGTTCTTCTTTTAAACATTTATTTACAATTTAACTTGCTGGAATAGTTATAATGCTTTAGAGCCAGTTTTAGGGAGAAAAACTTCGGTAGTTTATTGCTTATTAAAAAAAAATGCAGTAAGCACAGTGATAAAAGTACTCTAAATGAAATAATAAACTCCATTTAACTTGTAGGCAATTTAAAAAAACTTTACCAAGAAAAACCTAGACATCTTATTTTAATCAAATACGGGCATATAATAACCAAATCAGGTACTGTCCATATAATGATAACCCAGCAGAAATTTGTAGGTGAACCTTTAAAAAAAGTAGTTTCCAGAAATATCAGCATTCAGTGGTTCTTAAACTTGGCTCACTTTCAAACAGATCAATGTTTAAGATGCTGATTCAAAGTAATACCACTTTTGAAACAGGTTTTCAGGTTTGTTTTTATTGGTGGCCTATAACTTTCTCACTGAGTACATATGTAAAATGTTCTTTTTTTTCTCTTGAATGTTATGAAATAGTACGTAGCTTATAGTGATACGTTCAGCAACATGAATTATAAGGGCATACTACTTTTTTTTTTTTAAACTAATCATTTATGCTGTCCCTGGACATTTCCTGCAAGCTAATGATAGTCTTTAGTTTTGATATTCTGGAATATTTTAAATTATGACTTGAGAAAGATACATTAGAAAAAATTAATACTTTAATTGTGCATATGAGTAAAGTTATACAAAATATTGTGGACTTTCACTGGCAGGTTCTTAACCTTTGGGGAGTAATACATTGTAAATACTTTTGATGCAAAATTAGGGACTTAGGTTATTCTTAATGACTAGTTGACATAGTTGTTTAAGGATTTTTATGATGAGATATATGGGCATTTGGTTGGCAGGTAAACAGAATCTTGTTGAACACAAATGCATGCAGTTTGCAGTTTTTTTGAAAAGCATATTTGGAGTATCTTCAAACACTTAAAATGCCATATTAAAATGTTTATTTTAAATGCTTATTATCATTAATCAAACTTTTAAATAAGATAGCGTTTTGACATAGATATGAATTGTTTGGAGCTAAGTTATCCTTTGCATTATAAAATGGGGATGAAACTTTAAAATGAAATCCTCCTTTTGATGAAAGCTCACTTTGTAGTTTAAGGTAGAGTCCAGGAGTTTTTTGCATAATACAACGGAGTCTTGGTCCCTAGCATGTCTCGTATATATAAGAAAATCAGTCAATGTGAAGTTCTGTTTCAAACCTAAAATTTGTGTATTTTAGAGCATTTCAAGGATGAGCTCAGAATTTAGTCATGTTTAGATGCTTTGTGGTTTGGCATATACCTTTGCAGATAAACTGTGACTTACCCCCCATGCCTCTCACCTAAAGTGTGAGAATAAGAGATATTCTCAAACATCAGAAATTTTAAAAATGTTAATGGTTTATGGCAAAGAATAATCATTCCTGTATTTTTTTCTATTCTCTCTCTACTTAAAGAATGCACACGTGTTATGAAAGCTGACTACTTCTCTTTTGGATTCTTTTATTGAAAAAGAGCAGTTTTGAAAGCTAAACTTGAAACATAGAGCCTGAAATTTGTGCAGAGAGGGAAAAAAGTCAGTTATTGAAGTGATTTATTACGTTTTATATTACTATATACTTACTTTTAAAAACTGAGTCATATAGAGTGTTTAAATGATTATAATTTGCTAAATTTTTAAACAACACGATTATTAAATATTTTACCAATTTCACCTTATCAGTTCACATTTGAACATTTAAAAATGTAGTAATTGCGTTAATAATAATATTCTGGACATTACTGCTACTTGTGCCTTGAAAGTATATATTTAGTTAGATATAACAAACTGAGAAAGAATGCGTTTTATAATATTTGTCCTA